GAGGGTGACCTTGACAACATATGTCAAGGTCAAGGTCATTGGCGAGTGGGGTCTTTTTGTAAATAATTACCATAGTTTTTTCCACATATTTGTGGCAACTTCTGTTTGACATCGCTTAATTTAAAGACTCTGGCATCGTGAACTTTGCCTGGAACTCCAGTGAACACATCGATGAATTTTCTTTTTGCATCACATATTGCTTGCAATGTTATAGATGTCTTGTCGTGTCGATTAGCATACGTCGATGCGATTTTATGAGCTGGTGTTCTTATATTTATATACGAACCATCGATACAGCCTATAACACCTGGGAATCCCGCAATCTCTTCAAAGGATCTTGCTTCTTCGTCTAAGTCATCTGGAAATTTGATGACTTGTCCCGCAATTTCAGTCAAATATTTCATGACTCTGTTACATTGGTAAAAAACTGTTCTGAGGGAGATTCCAAAAAGCGTCGCGACACACCGCAATGATTCCTTATTACCAGCAAACCACAGGAATACCAGCACATCTTCTTCTGGCGACTTTCTCTCAATTCCTCCATGATTATTTAATGGTGGGCAAGATGATTGTTCATATTTCTCAATTAATTTATAAGCCGTATCCTTGGTCAATCGGAAATGTCTTCGAAACTGAAATTCGTAAAGCAAATATATGTAATTAATAGACAGACACATACTTTCTCAGAACAAGTCCAATATATTTCTATTCTCAGCAAATAAAAATGGATTAAAATGGATTGTTTGATCCGTGCCGAATCCAAATTCTGATCTTTTGAATCCATTTCTATCCAATTACTGAATTTTTTTAAATTCATTTTAATCCATGACACGGGATTGAAACGACGTGATTCCTATTCTTTCAATCCAAAAAAGTTACGCGGGCCATGAATCCATTTCAATTCATTACACGGCATTAAAATAAAGTGAATTATTGTATATTCTTTCAATCCAAAACAGCGTCTTGAGAAAACACAGTGATTGTAATTCTTTTAACACAAAAAATATTTTTCTTGTGAATTCAACATTTAAAACACAAAAAATTTATTAAAGCATTC